AGAAAATAAGAGATAATCTAGCGAAGAAAATTTTGTTTTTAGATGATATCATTTTCTAAGGCTGTAAAATCATGTTTATATATATATATATATATATATATATATATATATATATATATATATATCAGAGTTCAAATCAACTGTCTTAAATGTCTGTCATCAATATCCTAATACGAAACCAGATTGTAAATGATTGTTAACGAAGAAGCATAAAAAAACAACTGCATGAGATCTTGAAAAATTAAGATTTGCCGCTAGTTCGTCGGATAAAGACACTGGTATTGTCGTAATGGATCGTCTGGATTCTAACGAATAAATACTCCCTGTCTTATCAGATAGAAATAAATTTTTAAAGGAGTCTACTGAAAAATGATACTACTGAGACAAATGAATGAAAGTTCACTTAGGTTCTTGAGAAAATGAAGCATTAGTCTATTATCAGCCCGAAACTATTTGAGCGATTGGGACCATCTGGTTCTGTAACCTCTTACTTATATGGTCTTCTAAAAGCACACAAAGAAGAACTTTCCAGACGTCCAATTTCGGATATAAACAATTCACCATACCATCGCCAATTGGCTGTCTGATGTCCTTCAATTAGTCAGAAAACAGCTAAATACGCACAGAGTACTAGATCTTTTCAAATTTGATGACTCTGTCAATAATATAAATGTATCCTGTGAGTGAACGATTTTCCTTGATGTGGTTTCCCTCTTTACTAATTCTCCTCTCACCGAAACTATCTGTTTTCTATGTGATTTCATAGGAAATAATAACTTTTAGGTGGATATCCCAAAGCATTATTTGATAGAATTACTTCTAAGATTTACTTTCAGTGTGCAGTTCAAATTCATCAACAAGTTGTAGAGATAAAGGGGTGGGTTCGCTATGTGGTCATCACTTAGACTGCTGTTGACTGTTTTCTTTATGGCAAACTTATAGAACGGTATACTCCACTCAGCAATGGATGGTTTTTACCTATATAAAAGATACATGGGTGATATATTCATCATATGTAATCAAAATACAGATATTGGGACTGTAGTCAAAAAGTCTAATGATTTTCACCCATTCATCAACTTCACATCAGAATTTGAAGACAACTAACAATTCCATTTTCCCGATGACTTAATGAAATGGGGACTAGGTGGTTCTCTTCAGAGATCAGTTTGTAGGAAGGGAACATGAAACTGACAATACTTGAATTTCCTAACTAGGTGTCTCTCAGCAGATAAAGGAATCTGATTCATTCTTTGTTATTAATAATCAGAAGAATCTGCATGAGTGATACTGTCGATGATAAGTTGCACGAATTATGGAAAATTCTCATACAGAATTGACACCCACCCAAATTTATTGAAATGAAACTTGAAATTAAAGCAGAATAGAGAACAAGTACCCGCAGCCGCAAAGACTTTATTTATGAGCATTGGTTTTAGAGATGATACGATCGTAGAGATCCTTAAGAGGCTCTCTAAATCCTTGAAGAAGATATTCTCCTCTGCGAAGCTACAGATCAGTTTATCTCGTCAGCGATCGGTTCCATGGTACATTAAATGCAAGTTACCACTTTGGACCACCTCAGTGTGTCTACAAGTGTATTTACTTCTATGGATCTAGTTATATAGGCCACATAAAGCGCCCAATTCCCAACTGTATCACTGAGGACTATCCTATATGGTTGTCGAGGGGAGAATGTAAGTCAGTTAACAGTTCAATCCCTGAACGTTTGGTCAGCTCTGGATATATGACACCGCCAGAGTCCTTCTTTAGAGATAAAGAAGTGAACCTTCAACAGTTGAGTATGGCAGAAACACTGGCAATTCATCAATTTAAGCATCATCTGTGTGTGCAGAAGAATTGTGTTCAATCTGTTATCTTACCACGGTCTAAACACTTTCCCAATTAATTTACTACTATCACCTTTATTATGACCATTGTTTCTTCCTTCACCTTCTTCTTTACATCAATCAAATGGACACTCAATCTTCGCATATCACATCTACCAACAGTTTCCACCTTGTCATACTCCTTATATTTCTCATTGTCTAAAAGATTATGCAATTACTCTCCATTCTTGATTGTAGTTTTTAGCATTAGCTTACTGATGTAACTATACCCTATTGTTCAATAAGAGACTGTTACATATTTGTGTTACGTATAAATACGATTGTACAGCTTCAGAAAATGATATCATCGAGAAAGAAAATGCTTGCTGAATTATCTCTTATTTTTTTAATGACTCTGAGGAAAATGTAATACGGTAAGCAGTTTTCACAAAAGGAAAGCTGAAAATATGAACCTGTGTCCATGCTCACATACAGCTGCCCCTTAAAGACAAACAATGTATAATTTCACTGAAGCTACCTAGAGAAGACCATAAAATAGTGATTATGTTCTACTGAAAACGATAAAAGAGGTAGTGCAAATTATTGGTAACGATAAGACAGGAATCCCAACCATCTTAAAGCTATGTACATCACTTCACATTTTTGTGGAAAGCAAAAGACTAGGCACACCAAATGTTCTCCTTTGGTTCATATTGTAAAACACTGCTTTTCGCAGTTACTGGGCTCAATAAAGAATCTTTAGCAGCTCTTTTAGATCATAGATGTGATTTGTAGACGTTGAAAAGCAAACGAATAGAGACTATTTGGATCTACAAAGGTTTCTATTTTCAGATTAAGAATACTGGATCTTCGTGTGCAAAGTATGATAGTCGTCAGTCTTGGACATGTATTATACCATGTTTCTCTCCTTACTGTCAGTTTCAATCGTGTACGGAAATGCGAACTTCTTGGTTGGGGTCTGAATGACAGCGGAAATCGATAATTGTAGATTTTCGGTAATGTACATATCCATATATACATTATCTACATCCTAATAGTGACATAGAATTCCACCATATTCTTAGCCTGTTACTTTCTTCTTACGAATTTTGATTGCACTTCCACCTATTTTTCCGTATCTTCTGTCTTGGTGTGCTGATATAAGATGGGATAACTTGGATCGGTATGCAGCATTACTAGATCTGACGCTGCTATTGATCAAGTATTTCCCACCTTTACGACACTTTCAGAAGCAATGGATCGACTTACCTTGTCTACTGACCTTGTTTTACTATTTGAAAATACTGTTATCTTCATACATTCTCAGTACAAATATTTATTTTGGCCGAGGCAGTTTATTCTTTGTTTGATACTTGTAATTTCCCATTGTTATAGAGGGTCAAATTGCTTGACCTCTGTTGGTAGATGGGCTCCTATGTGAATGCCCTGATACTTCCGGATGTTCTTGATCTTGTATTCATCTTCGTGGATAGCAATGGAATCTAGGACGCACGTTTCGTCCTATTTGGGACTTGTCAGCTGGATGCATATGTACCCCAGTAAATGATGTTGTTCCCGCTGGGACTCAGACTCAATACCCATCGCTTCAAACGCCAAAGCGTTATCGGCTAGGCTAATGGGACACGACAGCCACCTCTGACGCACAAAGTATCAGTTGTTCTTTGCTACTTGTAATCTTCCGTTGCTACATGAAGTTATTAATCTTTATGCAACTCCAGTCACATTTTAATTAATCTCAACTAATTATCAGAGTTTTTTTATGATAATGACGACTTATGTATTGACATTTTTTGTAGTGGCCACGTTTGATAAACCACTGAATACTGGAAGAAAGAAATGTATAGACCTAGAAGTGTACAGCCTATTGAATGAAGTCACTGATAAGAGTCTTTTTGGTGCAGTACTTGTTCTTCTACCTTTAAACTAGTTAACGTTATTACATTGTTCGTCTACTATTTAACTGACATAATCTTCGAAAGACTGGTGTGACACTGTTCACAGATCGTGATTAGTATGCGTATTAAGGTGTACTATGTTCCATTAAATTCAGTAACAAATGACTGAACCACATCTATATGCTTCAGCGTATGATGCTCGAGAGTCTTCGAGTTTGGTTGAGTGTGACTACGCCTTAGTGGCTTCAAATACACGTAAGGATATCCGTGTCGAACAAGAAAGTTTCTCAAAAAATTCCACAAGACGATTAAGATAATATGAGTATGAATTTGTTTCACTCAGATAGATTCTACGCCCTATCGGATATATTTTTCAACCAGCGATTTTGGTTGTCATGCAGGCCTCAATCACTAAGCTTTTACTTCCCTACACGGTTTGAACTAACACATAGAGACTTTGTGGACCGATGCCGACTTCCAGCCTGACCGCTTTTAACCTACTTCAGGCCAAACGCCGACTTAGGCTAACATTGCACGACGGAGGTGGTGATGACTAGGCATGCGTAACACATGCTCCAGGCATCTGAATCAGTAAAGGTATACAACCTTTTCAAATAGCTTACCTTTTTACCTAAAACTCTATATGTGGCTTCAGCATTACTAATGTAGTGGTTTTACAGCATACGATCTGTGCCTCGAAGTCAACCGTCGATGAAAACAATTTAGTTCGTATACAAACGTTTATTTGTTACTATTTCGCAGTGTAATGCGACTGTGACTTATTGGTTTAGGAAGATGACTTTCAAAACGTGGGTCACGGGTTCTAGCCTCGCTTTGCTTACCGAGGTTAAGGCAGTTAGGTAGTATAACTAGTCCTCACACAATAGGTGAGGCTCATTGCCAACTGCATAAATAAGCATAAGGTTGCGGTGCACCTTTCGTTCGATGAACAACTAGTTTTCTCAAATGCTTAGGCACATAAATCACTAGTTGAAAGTTTTATGCATTGAGTCACAGTTTCATAATAGGAGCACATGAATAAGACCGTGAAACAAAATAATAATAATAGAACATCAGCATAACTTATATATATTCATTATTTTGCACGAAATACGAAAAAGCAGCAGAAAATCAAAAGAATTTAGAAAACATAATATTAAGTTATACTGTACAAGGAATGATAATCTGGGCTTGTTGAGATTTTATGGTGTGACTACCATTAAAAGCGAAAGGTGAGATAATTAGCCATGATTACTCAACGCCACATCCAATAAAGATCTGGTAATGTGAAGTTTGTTTTATCCAAATCTAACGGCTCCATGAATGCAGTCATACAATTTTGTGGTTTAGACCATAGTCTATTATCTAATATCCGGTTATGTACAGAAGCTTCTTGGATAGTCTGACTATTATTATTAACAGTAGTAAAAGTAGTATCATCTGGGCTGAAAATGAAGCTGCTTGAAATTTTATTTCTATTCAACATTGACACATCATGATCATAATGAGATATTTGTCCACCTAAACATTCATCGAAGCGGTATAACTGTGACATTTCAATAATATACTCTGGTATTCTGTGCACAGTTGAAGAACAATCTGTTACGCTTTCATTATTTGTTAGCATACAAGTAATGATTGAGTCTAGACTATGTTGACCATCCATTAGCATAGATTTAGCAGCAGACCATGTTTGTTCATGGATTATTTTTGATTTTTTGCTAAGTTTACATGGGTTATGACGTAAAAAACTTGAAAAGTTTTTAACTTGACGTTGCAGCAATGACTGCTGTGTATGATTTGCAGCGGAAGTTGTTGTTATCACTGTCGTAGGAGATGGTTCTTTCAATGATACAGCAGACGATAATTGATTGTTATTAGTTGATTTATTAGACACTTCTAGTTTATCACTGATTGGATAACACTGAATTCGTCTTATCAAACCGTTTGCTTCACCAAACTGTACAAGGGACAACAAACTAATTTTAGAATAACGGTAATATTTACGACGCTGAGAAGTATAACATGTACAAATTTTTGATGGCACAACAGGTGGGATAGAATGATGTGAAGATGAATTCAAACAAGAAGGATATTCAATAAATCGAATATGTGGATTGGCTGAAATTAAGTATGGTAAACTAAAATTGGATGAAGCGCAAAGTATTGCATACAAATGGAAGATATCATGGATACACAAACTTTTTATTTTATGGCAATAGGGATTAGACGCCGTCTAAACGATAGATAGATGAAAAAGAAAGGTTAATGAAAGAAGTAACATGGATAACAGTTATCATTTACAATAAAAAAAATGTCAACTGTTACACAGAAATTCAGGGGAAATGTTCGTGTATAACAAGTTTAATAATTACTGAGATCTATATTCAGCGTTTTTCTACTAATTTCATACTACGGAATACTGCTAGCCAGTGAACTATCTCCCAAGAATGATCATGTTTTTAGGACTTCTGTAGTATTATTATGCTAGTGAATTATTTCATAATGTATAAACAGTATTGATACCATCTTCTACGTGCCACAAGACTTACCTAATTATTTACCATTATTGAGACCAACAGGTTTCTAAATCTTACTTGCTGAAGGGTAAATACAAAACAAATAGCACATCTATGTGTGAACAATACAAAGTATAAGTACTAAACTGGTCAAAGGTAGTAGTTTAACAATGTCTAAAGCTGAAACTTCACGTAAAGTGAACTGAAAATCCAACTTTCTAATGTACACCTATCATTATTGAGATTTTAAATGAATATCAAATACGACTTTCATATCTTAACTTTCTTCTAAAAATCTTTACCGCTTCATCAGATGATGAACATGCTACTCTCTGTCTTAGTGTATGTCTGCTAAGTGGTCGTTGAAAGTAGATATGAGGACGTTACAGCTTTTTGATCATAAACATCTTTGTAGCAATGCTTATATGTGGGAGAACTACAGTGTGAGGTTAGGTGTAGGCTATCAGAAAAGAAAGACGATTCAGTTGATGAGGATATACATTTGCAACGACTAAGGTGACTTGGACACGCACTACACATATCAAGCAACCATTTATCTTGATGGACGACATTAAGTGAAGCAGTATTGGGTTAGAAAACCAAGTGTGACCAGATGAGGATACGCTACCAGTGTATTAAGTCTCTGACTGTTGTTCTGAGACGTGTAGGAATTCGGACGCTGTCCAGTTGAGAACTTCGGGATAATAAGGAGTCACGGTTGCAGATTCGTATTGATATGGTTGTAAATAATTCACACTGGCGTAGATATACACACTCTTTATCACCTTCGAAGTTTTGAATATTGTCAGTAACCTTCATTTATTTCTTCTCTCATAAACTTCCACCTACCTTAAAAGAATATTAAAGAATGATATAATTCATTATTTAATTTGAACTAGTAAAAGCAAGAGTGAGTACCCGAAAACTGGTAATGAGAGTTCCGAAAAGTTACAGAATCCTTAATGACCTAATCTTGTTATTTCATGAACCTTAACCACGAAAGCTACACTTTTTAATACACCTTTAACCTAAGAGGCAGTAACCGAATGAATTCATATCATGTCTTCGTACGTTCACAATGAAAACTCATTTTATATATCGGTCGATATGGAGGTTGTCAGTGAGTGGGGCATTCAAAACATACATCATAACAAAGTCAGTGAGTGTTCGCAACTGTGAAAAACCACTAACCTTCTACACTAAAAACCTCATTACTTTTCTTTCGGTAATCCCAGCTAGTATATGCGAGCTGCACCCATGAGTGAATCCTAACAGGCTTTCTACATTATTTGTTATCCAGTGAAATCAAAATTACTAACAAGTTTTACAACCAGCCCCTGATGGGTACATGATAATTCCATCAATGCTGCAAATGGTTTACAGACACTAAACAAGTTTAAGAAATCAATGATACTGGATATAGAACAACGAAAGCAATTGTAGTAAAGTAAAATAAAAGAATGGTGTTTGAGATAGTATAAGACTTGAGACTTTATGGATGAAAAGACTCAATTTGTTAAAATAGAGACAACTTTTACAAACGAAAATAAATTCAGAAACAGTTATCTGTCGAATTTTATCACTAATATCCTAGCACGATAGATAAACTATCCTCCTATTGTAGATACATGGATGACACTATCATTCTGTACAAAAAGTATGCTAATAATGACATTCTTCTCGATGCATTCAACAGTGCTCATCCAGAGATCGAGTTCACATTTGATAAGGAGGAAGATGGATGTCTGCCATTTCTAGATGTTTTGCTATCAAGACGAACGGATGGCAGTGTCAGACGCAGTATTTACCGTAAGAAATCATGGGTTGGTCAGTATACACATTTCGAGCCAGTAAGATTTGTACAGCTGACACTACGAAAGATGAATTGAGAATAACAGAGAACTCCTTATATGACAACGGCTATCCTGAAAAGTTCGTAAACAATGTAACAATGAAAACATCTGGAGAAAAGCGCCTTCAAATGGTGCAGAAGAAACGATCGTACTTAACCTTAGCATTCAAAGGAGATGCAGCTGCAGAAACACTGACACTGAAACTCAGAAATCTGATACAAAAACCCTCTTTGCCACCACACTATGTTTGAAATTTACTACTCGCTGTATGATGCCAATGCAGATGAAGGATAGGCTTCCGAATCTGGCCACAACTATGTGCATCTATAGATTTAACTGCTCCTGTGGAGTTAGTTATATAGGCAGAACGACCCGGTAAGCCCACCATCGCTTCATTGAACACTGTCCAGCGTGGCTAGGCAAAGGAATAGTGAAATCCATCGAAAGCTCAATACTCGCCCATCTAGTAGATACTGAGCATAAGATTGACAAAACCTCAGCATTTATTACTATTCACAAAGTTTCATCACAAGACTCCAAGTTAGTGCGCCTCCGATTGCTAAGCGTAGCAGAAGTCATAGCAATAAAAATTTTCAAACCTAATTCATGTATTCAGAAGATGTTTGTCCGTTCCCTTTCTCTCCTATGACCTTCAACTTCAACCCAGATACAAATTACAACAAATCCCTTCCCAGTCACCCGGATAAATGTAAATATTATCTGTTTGTACTCTTATCATTATCATTTTATTTTTTGCCCTTATTTTCATAAATGATTAGGAATTTTAACATTTTATTATCTAACTGCTATGCAACAATAATTTTATTTCCCTCTATTCCTGCACATACACAATTCATTCACTATAAGGATTGACTACTGAGATTTTGTTTAGTTATTATCAACTTGACTGTTATCTTCTAACTCATATACTAGACTTAATTTAACAATGTTAGTATCAAATGACTACGCTGAATAATTTGTAACTATAAATCTAAAGCCTGACGAGAATTTACCGAAAATACGTATTCGCTTCAAACTCGATCTTTTAAATATCCTAACTAACGAAGAATTACACTGCTTTTATCCATTCAATGACATAATTTCATGTTTCTTCGCTAACTAGTTTATTGAATGCTTTTCAATGTTACATTACATAAACTTTTGAGTTAAAAGTTCAAGAAGTAAGTTTCGTTGATTGATCGGATATTATTTAAAGGAAACAATCCTACTATTAGGAAACTATGGAATTAAACACAAAGCAAAAACAAAATACCTACCACAGTTTCTAAGCAAACATTGCTTAGAGTACGATCTGTAAGCAGAGTTGCCAATCGTGGTAAACCTAACCAACCAGGAATAATATTAAAATTGGACAATCTTTCAACTTGTGGTAAAGGCACCAAAAATGTAGGGAAAGGTAATGCACGTACAACTCCTATCCGAGCAAGCTCAATTAGACATAAACGAGCGATTGTCACATCCAGATGAGCTAATTGAGCCAACTCCATCAAACGTCGTTTACCATCAATATACGGTATAATACGCTGAGAAACAGCATCCAATGGCCTCCATCCACCATTCACATTGTATCCCATTTTAGAATGACGATGATAAGTTGGAGAGGCGATCAAAACAAATACACAATCATCAGTAACGTCTGATTCTGTTTGAGGATTAAAATTTGGGAAAACAACTTGGTTATTGTGATGAAGATTAATCTGACGAATTTTCTGATCCAACCCCAACTCAATATTGTCATTCAGTATTTCTTCATGAACAAGTTCAGACATATCAAATGATAGGTTACTATACGATCCTCGGTCTTGTCGAGGACTAAACTAAGAAGACAAAAAGAACCATGATAATGTTATTCACAAGTGTATGAAGGGAAGTAAAGAACATGAACCAAATAAATTGGAAATATCCCAGAGAAATTATGAAAAATAACAGGGAAATTCTAGTTTAAAAAAGTTACTCATAAAGCTACTTCTAACAAACACCATGAGAAGTAGCAAATACAAGAAATATAAACACCAATTGTAAACTGCGAACTTTTATCACTCACAAACGGTCATTATCAGGACGACTTTTCATAAATTCGATACTTTACGTCTTTATGTAGACTTGACTAGCCAGTACGAATAGTATATCTTTTTGTGAAATCTTTCGTTCACACAAGGCAGAAAACAAACTTCAGCTGCTCTTGATTTTGAAAGCGAAAATGGGACTAAAAAAATACGTTAATATGTGATCAAGCACCCTCCCCTAGAACATTTCATCCCAAAGTGACCCTTTTCGAGTTTCTTCAGCAGAATGCTTGAAGAAATGGATGTCGAAAATCGAAATGGACTCAGTAACCTTGAACATATTTGTGCAATTTAGCAATGAGTCACACCTACTGTATGAGGGTTGACAATACTACCCCGTTGCCCACATTTTGTTACGTGGGGCAGGGTTCAAATCCGTGACCCGTCGGTTGAAAGTCATCTCCCTAAACCATTGAGTTAGCTCCAGAAATTAGCAAACTTGTTCTATAGCTGCGAATAGGAAAATGCAACTTGGTTAGTTTTATTTAGGAATGCTGTAAATATCCTGAAAATATTTTTTTTAAAAACAATTTAATAGTTTTCCATAAGTACCGTTTCGAATGATGAATTACTGGTTGAATGCCAAATTGAAAAATGAATCATTTGAAAGTCTCAGACGGAGACAATAATATTAGACTGATACAGTGGATAAAACTGCGGCCTTACATCTGTTCATAAGATGTTGATTAAACTTCATATTATTGTTAATTAATTATTTGTTAATTTTCGTTAGTTGTCTTTGTACAAAAGTGATTTTTGTTTCGGAATTATTCAGGAATCTCGAAATTGTTGTAACATAGACATGCATTGCTTGGCTGGTAGTTTAGCATTTCAATAGTCACTTACTTATGGCATAAGATAGTCGTCATTCGATTACATCGACTTAAGTTTGCTGAGTCATAAGTTAAGTATTCAGTTCAACCACTCAGTTGAAGGAACATGACCAAAGCTTTACATTACAATTGCAAAATAGACATATTTTACTTCCAAAAATACAGTATTAATGAAGACTGTAATATATTTAATAGCTATAGACAACAAAATGAGTTTTAAAAATAACCAATTAACTTAATGAGACAGCCACTGACAAGATCCAAACATAAATATGGGAATATATCTTGAAATTCAATCATTATTTGTTTCTGGAACGAACCATACTATGACAATAAACAGCGCAACTTAACAACCATAACGAGGTTTATAAACCGGGTGACGGGATGGATGTTCCATCTAATTGTCAATGATACTACAAAGTCCTAAGGTCAAAGTAGGTGAAATGGATTTTATTTAAACTCATGACTCCATGGTTGGTAGTAGGGGGGCCGAAACAATGAACTATATCTCTGTGATTTCAGTTGAACAGGACTGCACTTCTCCATAATAGGAGATTACAAATAAAAGCGAACTTAACCTTTTAATACACGGGTGTTTGATAGCTGACAGTAATCAGCAAGAAGTGCTGTGTTCAAGTTTAATAAAGACTGATATACATTAGCAAACAGAATGCCAGGAGAACCCATATTAGTTTAGTAGAACTGTAAGTCATCACTTTGGACAACCAGTTTTCAAGCTATGCTTTGGGCTTGAATACTGCTCCACTAAACGAGCCTTGGATAGTCAAGTAGCACCATTACTTCTTAAACAATAGATGTGCCTAATAATCCGTCATGGAGTTGGTTAAAAAACATCCAGCATTGAAGTTAAAGATGGTAACACTAAGTACCACCCTTTGAAAAACTATTTTTTAGAGACTTCATCAACATTTGTTTTGGTTGTTGTGGATTTCTCCACATTTATGCTTGTGTAAGGATAGCAATATGATGAAAATAAACAACTTACATTTCCGGGCCTTTTAATAACTCCTGATATATTCCGTAATTGTGTAAGTAATCCTCCAAATTATTATGTTTCTAGATGGATTCGATGATTGGTTGAAATACTACTGAACTTTATAGGGTTTAAACTCCATAGGGTAAAGTTTTAGGTAAAAGACGTAAGTCAGTTGGCGAAGTTTTAAACCCTTATTGAGTTAGCTGGTTGCGCATGCCTAGTCACCGTCTACCCTGGTGCACAAAGTTAGTCGAAATAGGCTTACGCTAGCAAAAGGTTAGAGGCGGTCAGACAAAACGCGATATCAGTTTATATAGTCTCTTACTATAAGTCTGAGCTGTTTAAGAAAATGCAAACCTTATGACAGCAGAAATCAGCGGCTGGAGACTCTAGGTAATAGGGCTTAGAATTAATCTAAGTTGTGCAAATCCATCTACACATTATCTTCTCGTAACAGCGAAATTCATTATCATCTTACTCCAATTCCCTTCTTCTTATGACTTTATGTGAATTTGGTTAGATTTGTTTTCATTTACTCCATTTAATCTTACTTCATTGTATTTTGCTGCACTGATATGAAATATGGCAACTTGGACGGTTACACTATGATATCAAGTCCCATGTTTTTATTGAATAATTTACTTGTAATTGCTATCTATTTCATGCATAAGTCGCAAATAAAAAGCGAATATCGAAGCCCACTCAGAAAAAGATTAGAGTGAAAGGCATAATAATGGAAATTACAAATCCTACCACATATCTTGAGCAATATGATTGCATTATCGAATACAATAATGGTTATTACCATGAACAAACAGTACAGTAAAGTACAGAAGAATCGTTTAGTTATAGAGTGGCCACTAGGAATAAAATTTTATTTAGTTGGTATTCAATTCCAGTTAATCCAACCACAAATTTCTTTACCTATATTCAGACTGGAGTTATTTACACCAACCAAAAGATTGAAAATGTTTATGAACACGTTATTAACTTTGCGTTGCAACACCTATACAGTAAGAGGGGTGGTTCAAACAATCCAACGGAAGAGATGCATTATTACGGTATAAAGTTGCAGCCATGGTCATTTTATCTACCTTCTTGAGTGTTTTTATGAAGTGGCAGTTTCTATTTCAGAAGTAATGTCACCTCTTCCCGGATGTTACGTGAAATATACTAATCAAAACAAAAAAAATACTTACCCGCAAGTAGAGAGAGCCACAGTTTGGAAATGAAACAATGCACATTCCGGATTCATGCAACTGTTTGTAAATTGAATCAAGGCAGGGTAGTTTAACACAACCAACTGCACCTTCATGATGTTCTAATGCGCGAGACAGAAATGCACACTGTTCCTCTAGGGCGTAGAAATATCGATTTATCTTTAACGTTAAAGCTTCATAGGCTGCTTGAACATTGGGTCTGAGGCCACCAGCTGACTGATCATCCCAAAACTGCCAGTGCGATATATCATCTCGATCGGAAGTTGGTCTTGGTTTTATTACAAGGCACATATTAAACTGCAAAGTATTTCTTTTATACTGAACTCCTTCGATGCGTTGTAGGCACCCAATGACATAGTGTTTGAAAGCTTCAATTGTGACTAACCGAAAAGCCAGTTCAGCTCGTGGAATGACAGCATTTCCTATTTCTTTAAACTGAGTCTGTGAAAAGGAGACAAGAAGCACCAAAACAAATATAAATCAACCAACATATTGGGACTTTTAAATATTAGAAATCACAGTATTCTTAACCATGAAGACATGATACTTCTAAGATAGCATAATAATTAATGTAACTCATATAGCAGGTACAGATTTGAGTGCCAGGTTGTGAGAACTATCTATTATGTGAGGGCGTATGATACTACCCAAATACGTCGTCGTTCAATTGGCTAAGGCAGCTGACTTTCAACCAGTCGGTCACAGATTTGAACCCAGCTCCACACATCGTGGTTTGTCAGCCAGGTAGTAACATCAGCAGTTACACAATAGATGTACCTCATCACCCAATGCACGAACGTGCATGCGGATACTGAATGGATTTCAATTTCGGCACAGGTCGAAGTAGGTGGAGTGCGAGCTTTATTATAAAAAGAAATCAAAATGACCGCCGTAACCTCGTGTAATAGGCGATGAGCCACAACTATTTTGCATAACAGTTAACGAAATCTCAGTTTGGATACAGAAGGCTGGTTTGGCATTTGCCAAACACGCATGAACTCTAGAGCCGACTAGTGAGGTATCCAACTAACTATTAAAGAACAAGCATACTGAGCTTCAGTCCGTTCTGTCCTGTTATACGGCCGTGAAACATGGCTGTTGGAAGTAGAAGATATGAATTAGTTACAAGTTTTTGATCACAAGTGTTTTTATAGCATTCTTTGCGTATGACGTAATCACCATGTGAATAATCTTAAGGTGAGGCGAAGAGTACTAGGCTAGGATGTCAGGTCAGTCGGTGAGGTTGTGAACTTTCATCCACTGAGGTGGCTTGGACATGTTGCGCATGTCGAACCACCACTTACGTCGACGTGCAGTGCTAGCAAAGTTGGATTAGGGTGGAGGAAGGTTCATAGTGGTCAGACTAGGACGTGACACCAATGCATGATATCCCTGACTGTTGGTCCGGACTATGCAGGGGGGGGTGTAGACTATCTGGCTGTGGTCGCCGATGATATGAACCAGTGGTTGAGGACTCCTGGTGAAATGGCTAAAACTGGGTCACAATGGTGTAGATGCATTTACCTTTTGATGTCATCTGAAGCTCGAATCTATTCAATAACCTTAATTTTGAAGTTCCTGATCCTCCAAAACACATTTGTCTACTTTGATACCAGTATTTCCTGTCCACTTATTCTTTGTATACTACTGTGAAGTGAGGCAACTTGAACCGACGCGTTTATGTGGGAAGCCCTACGTTGATTTTGTGTCTCTGTCTATGAGGACTACTGATACAACCCGGCTGCCCAAAATTCGATAGGTGGATCGGTGTTTGAACCTGTGACCCACTAGTTGAAAGTCAACTGCCTAAAAAAATGAGCCACAGTTTTGCTGTCAGATGCAGTTGTAAACAAAATTACTAGGACCCTAATCAAGTGGCAGCAAAGCCCAGTGGACTACAGATTAGTTAGATATCTACCAATCTATGAGGGTTTTATACACTGCTTCTACAAAAGAATGCAATCTTAGCTCAAAACACCAATAAACTTTTTATTTAATGATTTTATCGGAACAAATTCAATTTGAAAAAAGAGGCAAGTGACTAGGAACTGAAACATCCACTTTGTTCCCGACTGTCTTATTTTTTTACAACTACTGTATTGGCGAATATAAATCATATTTTGCGCTAAGATATAGGTCACGAAGAAAAAACATGAAAATTGACATCTTGTATTCTGGCCCTGTGCAAAGAAAACGTTCTGGTGACTAATATTTCGCTTTTAAGTTGGGATGCGATTTCTGAGTCAACTTTTAATAGAAATTAAGCTAATAAACTTCCCAGAAACGTTCTTTAAACATATCGGCCTATAAAGCATGAAAAACTTAAAAATACCTAGAGCTCGAAATTCTCAGTAATTTACCAAATAATTAAGTACGGTTATTCATACAACTCATATAAAATGGAAAACATACGGAAGAAACGTAATTATGTGGATACTGGTAGGCAATTACAGTTCCCTGAACATTTTCAAAAGTAGCGCAAAGAATTGCAGCCAGTTCTGTGGTCCGAACTCCGGCCTACAAATAGGAATAACGTCCAAACAGCTTTAATACGGATTCATCTTGCAACAAAGAAACTTGTTCATAAGAAATACCACGCAAACTCTGAAGTAAGCAATTTAAGTTACGAAATCGTAATCGGTGGTAGGTTATCTCTTAATTTGAAAGAAAAGTAAAGCGAATAACAATGTTAACAGTTATTAGTTCATATTGTGCGCATAAATGTACATCCATAGAACCATTCAAAAGTAAGAATTATATATACATTATTTAATTCTTCAAAGGTTTTGGATCAAATCATAGGTAAAAACCTACCGGAGACAGTTTAGTATTGAACACTACGCTTTAAGCATTATTCTTGTTTCAGACATTTAGATTTAAGATATGAACTCATCATTCTACTGACACATCTATCAACCCAAACCCAAAACAAGTACTGAGTACGACGACCTAAATTTTTAACGTTACAAAAGCCAAAACCAATCTTGATAGTACGATCCAAGTCGCTTACTATCTAGAGTCGCTAAACGACTTTATTCCAAGACTATTTTATATCCCAACCATATATAAAAAGTTAATAGCTCCAGACTTAACCATATTGTATTATTATGTTTCCCTTGGGTTCCTAGGGGAACATAGGGCTTCAGAAGCACGCCTCCATTGCACTCTGTTCTCTGCAGTCTTTTAGACCTGGCGCCATGACTGCCCATAAGCCTTCATTTCTTCCTCACATGATCTCCTCCATGTCATACTGTAATGCGCAAAAATATGGAAAACCATTACTTTATGTAGATCCCTTTCTCTAGTATGTCATTCACTTAACGAGGCTAATGGATTCAAAATAGCAAACCTGCTTACCGTACTAAGATATGTCAAGAAGAGTTAATAGACGCAGTTCACAAAATACGTGAAACATAACTGAGGTTTTATTTCACTGTGTAACTAACAGTGAACAGTGAATATTACCTTTAAATCTATTATAGTTATTATAATAAATAGTCATGAGATATAGGGGTTTTGAATTATTCTACTATCACTAAAAATGACGTACAACTGGAAATATTACCTCTTGCAAGTGTAGATCACTCGATTGGCATTTTGTAACGTCCTGTAGGTGCAAAATCAGGTAAGTCAGATACGTATAACTAACATACAACAATAAAATGCTATATTTTAATACTACTAGTCCAATGATTGAAAGCATATGCAGTCAGGTACTCCTCCATTAAGTCTTTTCGGAGCACACGGACACCGCTCATCATTAGGGAGGGATCAAGTCAAGAAACCATAAGACCAACTTGACTCCTAATTTCAACATGAATGGATCACATAAAGTTGATTATTCGAGACAGAATTTCTATGCATCACTCTGATAAGTATAGAGGAACTGTGGGTTATAAATTTAGATACGCAAACTTTAGTTAATGTATCACTTACTTAACATAGCTATCTACTTCCCATTATTTGTTTACTGAACTCATAATACCCTATATGGGACATTAATTGTTGGATTCGTTTTTTCACATATCTTTATATGGGCAGGGAAAATGACAGAATATAGAGATTAGTTTCCAATTTAGTTTAGCGTAAATGATGGTTAGAATTGTAAATTTAAGGTGATCAGACTGCTCGCTTGCTTTACTTATGATACTTTTTATAGTAAAAACCAGTACTTTTTATTTAAGTAAAAATTAGCAACAAAAAGCATGTATGAATTTGTCCATAATCATCTAAGAATGTGCCTACGAAAACATAGTAAATGTGGTTCGTTATGCATGTCAAACTCTTGGAACTTTATAACACAGATATCATCACAAAGACAAAAGAAGAAATAAGTACAATCATTTTATTCCAGTCACACACGAGCTGATATTGTTTGTCAACTATTAGTGACTTTTTAAGGTTAGCCGTTAGTAGATAAAGTTTTTATATTCATGTTTATTACTTATTAATCCCCTTGGAATATTATCTAAGTTGACTGATTAAATTGCGATTCCAAAGTAAAACAATTTAAACACTTCCTAGAAACTGTTAGTCAACCAGTAAAGCTATACATGAAAGGTAATGACCACATTCGGACACTTCTGTATAAAGGTTTTCAGAGATGTGAAAGTGTGATATAGCAACAAACACGTTTTCGGTGATACGATGCTCATACTGAAGGTGTTACTCCGTGATGCTTAGCAAATAATTACGCGGGTCGGTTAAGACACTCGTCATCGCTGGTAGGAAATTCAGAAAATACTTAGCCATTATCAGAGTGATGCGTCTCACTAAAGCTTCACTTAGCTGGCAATTTTAATAGAAAATAACCTGCACAATCTAGTCCTGTTTAAAAAGCATATCCAACTATTGTAGCATCTTCCAGATGACAGGATCATTTTTTGGAGAAAAATAAAAAGTAGGGAACCACAAGTTCCTATTAGAAATCTAACTCATTTACATTGTACGCAAGAAAAAATGTTCTGCAGAAGAGATCTTAAACTCAGGATGTCACTGCTGTCGACGATTTTTTTAATAACCTATACATGAGATTTAATGGGATGAAATCAGCTGGGTTGTATGTTAGTTAACAGTGGACCAGGGATTCGGTTCATGTATGGGAGAGAGGCAGACGGAATACTAAAAGCAGTGAACTGGGTTAAGACTTACGTCAATGAGTAAACCTAATAAGGATATTATTGCTATCACAAGCTAAGTAGGCATATCATATAAACTAAGACATGGATCAAATGTGGTTAGTGAACTGCATTTACTTACCATATACATTTCAATGTATTTGGATACCTTATTTTAAATTAAGATAACCTTCGTCGAAAAACTAAGCTGTAATTATGAGGATTATTAGGTTAAAAGACATATTTTGCCAGAACCTTGAAAATAAAACTCTCTAAAGGTTTACAACTAAAGCCATTGTAGTCAGATACAGGGGCTATTTGAGAACGCTAAATTCAACGTCAACTCTAGAAAGCCAGCTGTAAAGTATATGTTGAATATTTAGAAGATATCGATCTCTTGGGAACTATGCGCTAACGACTCAGACAGGCGGGTTTATTAAATATCAATGATACAGGAATTAATGTTCGGAAAGATGTTTTCAGAAGTATATGAAAGAAATACATACACAAAAACTCCAACAAACATTATGCTAAATGATAATTTCAAAATGAGCTATTAACGTGAATTTGGCAGCATTACTAGAACCGCACGAATTTAAAGGCTGATATACGGTCATCTTGCAAAGTATTGTATTGAACACAGATAAAGAGCCACACAACTAACGATGCCACTATTAAGTATAGTCAAGATAAGGACCTAGAATAGGTTCCAGCAAGAGATATAAGAAAAACTTGCTCAGTACATCGTTCACCTCTGCATAAATTCTATTTTACTTTTCTATATTTTGTCCCACTGACAATAAGAGTGAACTATTGACAGCATGAATTCAAGTCAACAGATATTGTCTTTGAGGACTCATTTTCTAAACCATTGGGGAAATAAATATCCTCAGTTAGTTTGCTGATCATAACATTCGTCAAATTGCTTCAGCTATCACTTTTGATGAACTGTAATTAAAGGAGTATTCCTCCCCTCATTAGATGAAAGAACCCATGTGATAGCTTTAGTACTCGCTGAATCCTCACTAACGTTCACATTTTCACTTAAACATACCAAACTGTACTTGCATTGCTCGATCACAAGAGGTTGATAACAAGAATGTTTCGTTTATTTCTGCAGGTAGATCCACTTGAATGACAAACATTATTTTACTTCGAGTTAGCCTTATAAGCCGAAACACTAGTGTTTTCCAAATATGGTCACTTTTGTAATAGATAGGTCAGTACTCATAAAATAAGTTAACCAGAATGTGTTCTGTCATTAAACAGTCTAAAGAAAGTAGTCAGGATTTGATAATTTATGAAGCATTTGCAGAACTAATACCGAATAGAGCTTGACTTCTCTTGTTGTCAGTGTCATGAAGTGACAGCTACTAAAACACTTTCTTTTTAAGAATGCACACTTATTAACTACACAGGGTTTTACATTTTTTCAGCGAGACGCAAATTAAGATGAAATAGTACATTATAACCAACCAGGTGGCTTGAAAGGTAAGTGAAATAAGATATTCCTTAATTGTAGCCGCCAATAAAAATGACTAATATACCTATTCTTCGTATGCTGTAAGCAGGATCAAAATCAAACCAGTCAACTTCCATCTACGTGAATGCAGTAAGAATAAGCATTTACAAAAAATATAACCGTTTACTATCGGACAGCTTAATCACTGTCCAACAGGCATAACCAAAATATTTCTGTGCATTGTCCCTGAAATCCGTCACTTGAACCAAGTCGAATGCATTTCAGTAAAACCAGTCCTTTACATCCCTCAAGTTGTAGAGGAAAAGCTTAAATTATCTCCGAAAATTCTAGTATATTTCATGGTACGTAGAATTGAATCTGTTTTTTCAAAATCTGCTTCCATAACTTCGGGCTGATAGCCACTGTTAAATGTTACTCAACGCCTTCGTTTCACAACGGTCAGAATAAGAACAAGATACTAGTCGCTTATCATTGACGGGTGCCTTAGGTGTATGAAAAACACAGATTTAAGGTTGGTAAATCGGTACTCATATATGGACTACACTGTCCCTTATTTTTAGCTTTGTCTCAGTTAACCATCCGTAATTAGTAAAAATTATAGTTTGCTTGTAGTGCTTACAACTGCCAGACTACCATCCAGTACAGAACATGGCTTATTGTGAAAAATGAACTGATAGAAGTGGCAAATGTGGATTATTGGGTTTTGACCTAGTGACTCAATGGTAACGTACTGGCCAGTGAACCTGAGTGTCCTGGATTCGACCCCTGGCGGAGTCATGCATGTGGACTGCTGAAGAGTCCCGCGCCAGGACAAAACAGCTATCCAGCGTTCCGAGGTTCCTAGTGTCTCACCAACTGTCAGTCCATGATGAAACCCAGCCACAAATCAAGAAATCAATCTGCCGAATAACCTTGCCATCACGTTAGATGTGCGTGCAGACCAGTCCTCGGTATCGTTTTACATTTGACAGGTGGTAAATGAAATGATATGAGTATACGATTAGTTGACAAAAAAAGGTGATAAAAAAAAGCAAAGTGATGGAAAATCTCTTTAAAAGTACGGTGGTATAAGGTGCTTTACTATGACAGAAACAAAACGACAAAAAAATGAGCAGTAGAAATAGTTTAAAGAAATGACCGACGGACGCTACACAAAGATGCTCAACAATCAGGGGAAAACTATGTGAAACAGTCATTTTCACACAATTTATAGTGCATCAAAGTTCGCTCCACTAGCACATACTGATAACAAAAAAGATGAAATGTTAAAGATTTTCAAAAAAGCAGAACAAATTTTACTTGAACTAATTTATTCAAGCTGAGCACATATCAACTGAGTGATAAGTTCATCTGGCACACGAGCAACCTTTCGAGGGTATCGAGTAAGTGTATGAGGACATAACATTTCAGTCCATCCAACAGGAACAAGAGGGGTCCCACTCGTGCTTCCAAGAAGTTCCTGAAAATTATTTTCAGGGGACCTCCCAAGACCAAGAACTACTCCTAGATCAGGTTCAGCAGTAGACAGAAGACAAATGGAACTAGAACCACTCATGTTAGCATCATTTGTGGCTGCGACAGAACAAGATAAAGCCTGTGTGGTTAGCAAAGTAGATAAAGTTTGAGATGTACTAGACATGATTGAGCCAGTATGTGCATATGCTCCAGGTCCCAGAAGGTTGATCACACGAGCCCGTACAATATCTCCTGGTCTAAAACAGTCGCCTGGTTCCGCTTGATCTCGCTGAGTAGCCCGAATATCCTCACGTCTAATAAGACCCTTGAACGGTCCGGCAAGACAATTGTCTCCAACAGCAACAATGTCACATCGAACAAATCGCCGAGTTATACTAGAAACCTAAGTAGGGAAAACATGACAGTTGAAAAAGACTGAATCCACATATTCAAAGTAATAATTTGGAATCTTTCAATCATTTTATTAAACAGAAACTAGGTGGAAAAAAGCAAAAAAACACTCAAATTTACTCTACGTCATTGTGTTTTATATGTAGCGGTTAACAGGTCAAAATCTTAATCTCAGAAAACAAACTTTACTTTAACCACTTGCCACAATATGAAGACCAAGTACCTACTTCATTTACTTTAGATACAAATCACATCGTAGACTACATCATATCTGTCAATCACTAATACAAAAACCTTAGTACAATTCCTTGATGCCACATTTGAATTCTTGATAATATGTTCTGAAAGTTAAAACTTATGTGACTTATAACGATGAGAGAAGTTAGACTCCACTTATAGCAAATTTTAGTGGTTTCTGAACCTTATGTAGTGGTTTCCGAAAAGATCATCTTCACGGCATCGGAAAATGAAGACAACTTAAAAATAGTCAGTTGTAGAATGTCAACAATGGTTAACTTATTGTATACTACTCGGTTGTACGTGCCCGTCTGCTAATCTAAGAAGCACACTTACGTAATACGAAATATAACTTATCAGCTTGAACACTTGACTTTCTGTGTGTCCAGGGTTCAAGTTCAGTTTCATCTACTACGACCTGGACAACTCCAGTAGTATAAACCCTTACAATAAGTAACGCCACTACATAAACACCTGAATCGAGTTGAGCTACACTTAAACAGTAAACGAAAGCCTCTAGATGGAAGTGCAAATACTGAGGATATCCTTATATGAACATCTAACCACAACATTCCAGTTTAAGTGAGTCACGATTCACATGTATTTTCATAGGATCAACTTTCAGAGAACACATCACTGTATTGAAGTTTAGACCGATCACATCTATTATTACGAGATTTCACTTAGTAAGTGCACTCTTAGGCCGCATATTTTCTGGTGAATCGTTGCCAAAAAATGTTGAAGAGCAAAGGTCAGTGAGTCCGTAGTCATCAAACAGTAACTAAGGTAAATACCATGGTAATTTGCAAGCAAATCTCTCGGAGTAAAACGATACGCAAACCATCGGTTCAACAATTTATATTCAAGCAACACACCAATTACACATCATCTAATCTAAATACCCATGACGCCGAAAACTTGTTTTCCAACTAGTCAGCTATCGCGTTAACAAAAACTACTATATCACTCAATGGTAGGGCTTCAAGTAAAAACTGCTAAGCGAACAGAAGTAACTAAAACAGGTTTTTTGTTCTTTTACTGTCATGAGATCAAATGGTAATAAGTAGTCTGTTCATTAGTACGAATGATGATATTAGTACACTGCATAGACTAGCGTGAACTAGTATAGATGGGGCTAGTGACCGATTTCCAAAAAATGAGTTGTAGATTCAAAACTCACTATGTCTACTTTAGCCTGGGTAGCCTCATGGTATCATAAACTTCATACTGTGAATTTATTTGATTAGGTTTCGTTTATTCTATAACTTAACATGAAACAAACCCTACTCTATGAAGAACAACAAGTGAAAAGCAACAACTGGTTGTACACTCACTTTAGCTAATACCACTGATCCTGTGGTAGGAACTATGCCTGGAGCTTTTAGTGGCTCGACTGAAAACGTTTTCTAAAAATATCCAAAGTTACAAATACTGCATACTGTTCCATCTGCATGGGATTCCTCCTTTATGTGTCCAAAAGCACTTGATAGTATGTTCCCGGAGCATACATATGTCAATGGTCCACTTTTATATGTAGCTTCCGAAGAACAAACAAGATCACCAGGAACAACTATTTTACCAGAGCACATTAATAAGGTTTCTAGATGAATATTCCACCTTGAATCATTAGATAAACAAAGATGAAAGCAATATATTGCCCAGTAGTAAGTTAGAAAGCACTGAAGTTACACAAATCCAATAACAAGGAACGTACCAGCAAGTTACAGGAGTAACGCACAGTTTTAAACAGTTCGCGCGGTCCGAACAGTTGTACAATATTCAACATGCAACATCAAAAGTGCGAGTAGAGGAAACTGCAACTCCTCTTCTTGTAAGCACCTGCAAGTAAGTGTTAAATGCTACTTAAAAAGTGTTAGAAATAGGGCGAAAGGGGAATGAGAAAAGGAGTGAAAAGTACTTCTGAAAATATAAGTCCTAGGTCCTTCTTTGTGGATACCTTGGTGACTGCACGCTTGCTAAGAGTGTAGCTGGTTTTCGTTGCCTCTGGTGTGCAAAGATATACCACCTTGGACTTCTTCAAGTTAAAGCTGAAACCGTTTGCTGTTGACCAGGACTCCAGCTGCCACAGGTCGTTTTTGAGTATCCTAGGGTCCTCTTCGTTACCTGTCGTCCTCCATATTTTGATGTCGTCGACGAATTGGAAGATAGACGAGGAGATTTTGATGCGGGGTCATTGATGAGTGGTAAAAATGGGAGTGGCTCGAGGGTCACTCTTTGAGAAACTCCCGTCCTCGCACTCCTCCAGGCTGATCGAATTCTGTTTACTTTAGTGCAGAGTCCTCTATCCTCTAGGTATGTTGTAAACCATGCTAAGATTGGATCCGTGATACCCACCTTTGCAAGTTCCGCGAGCACAATGTGGTGTGGGACGCTATCAAAAGCTTTGGTCAAGCCCAAGAAGATAACGTGGACTGGTTTTTTGTTGTCGCACCCAGTAGTCCGGTCGTCCCAAGCGGTCATCACGTTTGTGGCGCACTACCGTCGGGTTCTGAAATCACGCTGAGCGGGGTGGTCAGTGTTGTTTCTGTTCAGGAAGATCCAAACGACGCCTGCAACCATGCTTTCCAGCACTTTGGGAAGCATGGGGGTTGTGCTATTGGTGTGTAGTTACACAGGTTTTTTCGCTCGCCTTTCTAGAAGGTTGGTGACAGGATCAGGCGCTTCCATTCTTTGGAGAGTTGACTTAATTTCAGTGAGCGCATGAACAGTTTGGATACGGGTGTGCTCAGGACTTCGGCACAGTTACGTAGGACAACCGGGGATTTCCCTATTCTCGGTGCGAAAGTTTCGCAAACACTTGGTTTGATGATATCTTTACGTTTATCAGTTTTGTATCGCGATCCTCGGACTTCTTTACACTGCTAGATGTTGATGGTGGATGCGTTACTGGGTTGAGTTGCTCGTGGAATCAACTTGATATTTTGACTTTTTACCTCTCCATAGCTGAAAATAGTCACCAACCCCAGTCTTTCCTCGCACTTTATCTGGACATTTCTCAGTCATTCGACAGAGTCGATCACTCAGTATTAACTGGTAATTTTTATTTTCCAGGGCTTGACAATCCATTGACAGGATGAAATGAATCCTTCTTTACCAATCACACTTACCTGATAAGAGTGAGGCCACGTGCTCCAAAACTTGCGGTAGTTACCCATCGCGCGGATCAAGGAGGCTTATTGGGCCCCTTCGCTTTGTACGCCGATTACACTAGCAGTTACCCAACACATGACGAACCACTTTTGTTTGATGACAAGCTCAAAGTTGCGTTCAAATTCCCTTATACTGGTTTATTTCAGCTCAAAACATTAGTACAAAGTGGGCCTGACACTATCGTGATGACCCACCACCTGGAAGTTCAGCTAATTGTGAGCAGGCGTCGCTGGACAGGCTTTGGTGCAAGCCCATGAAATCGTCTGCCCTTAAAACAGTCCGTTACCTTTGGTTAAAGCGCTCACACGACCACACATTCTGCTAACAGGTTCGATCAGATACTCGCAAATCTGAGATTCTTCCAGGATACATGATCCATACCCTTAATTCTGTAAGTCCAAGGTCACTGCTCCCTAAAACGCCTGCAAGCGGTATTCGCGGCAACGACCGGCCGAAGTTAGGGATGTTTAAGGGTATCTTACACCTGGGCCAACGGGATACGAGGGAAAACAGGACTACGAGTCCAGGTGCTTGGCTCTGGGTCTTTAATGAGACAACTCAAAATCAACCCAACCCTTCTTCGATGTGATGCATAAATTAACCTTCACAGCCAGCGATGAAATCAACTTTGGACAGAACATTTGCCATGGTCGGCGCGTCCAAGCATACCACGTCGTACTCAAGCTTTCTGGTTGCTCCGTCCGTTTCGGTTTCATCTTCTTGAGGCTGTCTGAGATTTGAAAGCGACTACTGCCTGAAGCAAGTGCCAACAGATGAACCTCTGAATCTGACTAGTTTCTGATAAGACTCTTATCCTATTGTAGTTTCTTTGACCTGATATCGCTATCTGTAACTTCTACGGGACCACATGTTAAACCTTCTTGAGGTCGAGCTGAAACTTCTAAAACTGTATATATGGATCAGTTTGCGAGGAGTAATTTTGAAGGAAACATACGGAATGCCGCGACTAACTCATAGTAGGTCACAAATGTGAAAACCCTGTACGTTGTGTATACCAAGAACCATAGTCAGCAGGGGAAACGGATGCACTTCCAGCTCCTTCGCCCCCGACAACCACTCACCTAGTGACGGATCCAAGCGAAGCTGACACCATATAAAGCACCAACCTCGAAGGCGTACTGCATAGTTTAACAGCAAGACTTTACGCATCATTAGCCGTTGTATTACAAGATATACTTACATCTTCGGCTTAACTTATCCAACTGGCTCCGTTCACAATGTCATCGACCTAAACAATCGCCACACCCTACATGACACCATAAAATACAAGCCCTGAATTTCCACTTCGTCTGTCTCAATACTTGAATCCAGTTTGGAGTGCTGTAGGTATGAAGCACAAATTTACTGAATATTCAAGCACTTTCGACCTCACTTATACTCATCTTTTGATACGTAATGTACTTCTGCTGGTTGCTTGACTCGCTATTGCCAGGATGCCGCCTATATTGAGTGGTTATGCTACTGTTACTTTTCACTGTCGTTATGCAACGAAATGGTTTTTACCCAACACTTGTAACCAGTGGTATTCCCTCAGTTGGACACTCCAGGAAACTATATACGGCATGGCGACTTGCGTGAAAGGCTTTCTCGGCTTCACCGAGAGTAAAAACGCTCAGATATGCCTGTAAAAATGGGTTGTGTTTGTATAACTCGTTATTCTGAATATGTGCTCATTATTATTACTAAATAATTTGCTCCTGCTTCCTCACTTGGTGTGGATTTTAAACGACTGTTGGAGATTTCAATCGTTCTGAGGTAGACTGGATAGTTGAAGTGTGGTCCACAGCGCCTCGATGTGACAATTGCTGTGATAGCTGCTCATGGATGCAAGCAGTACATCAACGTAACTACTCGTGATGACAGGTTGGAATTAGGATTTCAAAATGATATCACCCCATAAATGAATAATGGTCGTAGTCAATTTTCCAGCAGTGACCAAAGAATAGTATTCTGCAGTCTAACCGTTCTATTACTCTAATGTGTGAACAAGCTTTGCGAAGTATTAACTATCACTGCTAAAAAGGTACGAACTGGAAAATTCCAACATAGGGTCTTAAATTCTACCCACAGGATGGCTATCTAACTGTAAAGTCGCTGATAACCACAGCATCCTCTTTTTATAGAAATTATACGTCGCATGTGGGCACTGTTGCTCCTATCAAGATGGCGGAGCCACTCAGTAAGCATACCGAATACACTCCAGTTGTATACCGCAAAAGGCCTGGGCAACTGCCGAACTCATGCCACTTAACCAGGGCTTCTCGTTGTATTTAGTCGATGAGAAGCCTGAATCAGTCTAAACATTAGGTGCACAAAGAGGGGAAACTAGGGTGTGGAAGTCCCTAGAACCGGCTCCAAGATATACGTTACAGAGTCACCTCTGGAAAACGGCGAGAAACATGAAGTACCTTCTCCACGCTCCCTTGGTGCCGCTGCTAGCTTTTCCCCACCACCACTGGGGGCCGAACCTTTACCGGTTGTTAACTCTTTTACCTTCTGAGCAAGTTTATTGTTGCCGAGGTCGTCTGGAGCGTGCATACCCAGAATCGCTCTTAACTGTCATCATTGTTGTTGAGACAGTAAAAGCCCGCTACCAATCGTCCGTCTTCTCTTCTTGTCTTTACATGCCAATGGCGTTGTTTCTTTAGGCGACTGGAGCAGATTCCTTTACATGTGTTGGTCTCCTACAGCTCGAAGACTGCGGGTAGCATTACCAGCCATTGCAAGTTTGAGACTGGCGTACTTTGAAGTGAACCAACGGTGCCTGGAAAAGATGGTGGGGTAGCAGCTTAAAAATGATGAAGTTCCTTGCTGACCCAGGGAAATCATCGCCCAGCCGGCTCACCTCTGGCCAGTGACAACATTGGGAACAGCATATCCGAATTTGCCTGTGACGAATGCGATCATAATGTTTGACGCATGGTTTCTTGCGTATGAAGACCTGTTCATAGAAGGCTTCGCAACCAGGGATGGCGCGTGGAAGGTCAGACTACTGCTCCAGATGTTGGAGGTGGACGAATTTCACTGCGTTAAGCTAGTGCTGAATGAAAACAACAATTTTTATACATAGATAGGCGTAGTCAACAGCGCCTGTGAACGTTGAAGTTGAAATCACAAGCTAAAGACCAGTTTAGTGTCCTTGTCTCAATTCGCAGTCTGCTGCCAGTGGATAGTCTTATCAAGCGTGAAATATTAGTGAACTTCGTAGCCACTGAAATCGGCAAACGACTAGCTTCGTCACACAACTACATTGTCCTCAATGTTCCCGATAGTTTCTCATTAAAACGTGTTAAAATTAATCTCCCTAGGCCTGCGGTTTGCACGAATCTGTTTGCACAGCCCGGCGTCTCAGGAAGAGGACCAGTAAGTACCCCTGTTCAGTATTATTCCAGTTCAACTCACTCCTCGATGTGAGTCACTTCTGTGGCTCGTAGGGATCTGCAAGGCTTAAATTTCTATGAGAATGCTAGGCTCCTTTCAGATCTTACGGCCTGTCAACTACGCACACGTGGATCGAAACCTTCTGAAGCCCCTCTGGAAACTTCATCCGAACCAGCAGCCACCCGAGGCATATTTGCACCTGGAAATCAGCTC